CTGTTTGCTCCACATGCCTACATAGCATTATATAACATCTGGCATTAGTACTTCCAAACCATAAGGTATAATGTAAACATGCAGATCAACTGCCTCATTTGAAAGTACAGCTGGTCCGGAGCCAAAGGGGGGAGGGCACAGTGTGATTGAGGCTTGTCTTGTACACAGAGCCCTCTATAGTATTCGGCTTTCCACCCCATTTCACTTTAGCAATAGTGGCGGTGGTCTTCAAAAGACAAATGCGTCAAATGACCTTCAACCGCCATGCTTGTCGAGACCTGCTTTGCAACTTGGAGCTACATGAGATCCTGCACTGTGTTTAGCACATTATCATGATCATGATTAACCTGATTGAAACTGATTAGTTCAACCACTGTTACCAAACTGGCAAATTGGATCAGCTGGCAGTCTGCATGGTGATAAAACATATTATATATTCAACTATACTGTCTTACAGTAAGAAACAGAGCCTGGTGGACACACCCATTCATATGCATTCACTGCCATTCAAGTCATTTTGAAGGCTTCAATGTTTATCTTTTTCCAGTAAAGCATTTTGGACGTTTGAGAGGTTCTGCACAGTTTGTTACTGACCACTTTTGTACTGTCTTTTTTCTACTGTTTGGTAAATTTCTTTTTTATTGTTTGGCCTTTTATTAACCCAATATTCATTGCAATAATGGGCAGGTTACTTAATAGCTAACACGATGAGTTAGGCTACTTTTTCGAACATGAAAACTAAGATGTCTACAAAGTCAAGGACCTGATGACAAAGATTAATGGGATGGTCCTGCTTTCAGTAAATTCAGCCTTGCCTGCTTAAACATCTCGGTGGCTGAGCTTCACTCACTTTGAAGTCTCAGCGCTTGGCTATTTCAGGATGCCATGTGACCACACATATGTATATATATAAATGCTCTGCAGCGCGAGAAAACTCAATTACACGTGCTGCTGTTCCAGACAGAGGGAGGGGCCAGGTCCATTACTACAATCACAATGGCATATATGTAACCTACAACTCAACTGACGAAAGAAAACAAACACTGAAGACTGAAAGAAGGAAGGAAAAAAACAATTGAACATGCTGACATACTGCATACTGTACATGACAATGAATATTACCTCTTGCACATATTACCACAAGTAATTCAAATCTCTTTAACATCTTTTACATTATTACACTCTTTTCATTTATAATAAATATATACAGTACAAATGATTAAATTTTTATGTAAAATTATTAGGCAGCCATTAAAATGTATATAAAACTACAGTAAAGTGTGTTTTTGCCAGTAAAAATACTAAATAGCTTTAAAATACATAAAAATAAACAAATAAAGAAAAAAGATATTTCTGTTTTTAAGAGATATTAATATGTTGCTTAAAAGATTACAGCTAGAATAACAGATTTAGTTGTATTTTTAATTAAGTACAGTATATTATTTATCATTTAATAAATGGTGCCTTTAATTAAACATCTTAACACACCTTCGAGCTTACAATATAAATAAATACAATCTAAAATTCATTTTAGCTTACAGAATTTCAGTCTACACTGTGTAAGCTAAAAAAAAAAAATTAATTCTCGTTACATCAAGCATGTAGTTTCAGCGTCGCTCCAAAAGAGTTCTGCTGTCGTCTCGGGGCAACACTGCTTGCTTATTTCTGGTACTGCGGTCTGTTTTTGCACTCAGTCTTTGCAGACTGAGAAATCCAAAAGAAATCAGTTTACATGAACTGAGAAACCTGATTACTGAGCTAAAATCCAGCTCTCTTTACGGGATTTCTAGACCTTCCTCCGATCTAAGAAATCAAGTAAGTATTTTCGATGACTGCAGAAATCCGATTATGCTTGGATTATTGAGTGCATGTAAACGCACTCCGTGAAAGCCTATTTTGCTGGCGAATTAACATGTTGGTACATCGTCCACCTGTAAGAAAACAATGACTCCTCATCAGCATCCTGCACTGTACTGGTCAGCTGTAGTTTTTGCTCATCAGCTCATCTGATAAAGGAGCCTGTTACTCATCCAACATGAAAACCTATCAATTTCCCTTGAATATTTTGTGCTACACCCATGTTTTCAAATGAAAAGAAAAAGATTAAGTCTGTTTTTTTCTTCTTCTTTTATGTTGTCAACTGACTATCCATTCATTAACCCTTATGGATACTCAAATACAAAACTAGACAGAATGCACACCCTTGATGTCTACATTGCTTTGTTTGTCTCAGATGAATAACAGCAAACAGAAATCTCAAAGTCTATTATTCTCACTTTGAGACGTTAAATGGACCAAAACAAGAATCTATTGCTGGAATGATGGTGTAAAAAGCTACTGTTATCTAAACTTTACACCTTATATCAAAATTTAAATTAATTACCAGTCCTGACACAACGTGATGTCAGCTGACAGACCCCGAAAAGACACATTTTAAACCTCACCAGATCTGATCAGTGACCAGGTTTTAGAACTGTAAAGGATTCAGTGTAAACACAGTAAGCTCTCAAAATGTATGAATGAATGTGAACCTCCTGACTGTGGTGTTTCTTGTGAAATGCTTCGGATGTATGACCAGGATCACTGACGTCTGTCATGTGACTGGATTCTGAAAGAAAGGAACTGAGTTCCCAGTACTGTCAGAAAACAATCGCGTGTTTCCAGTATCCTTTCAGTTTTGTGAAAGCCCTGAAGGTTACCTCAGAGAGAAACCAAAGCTATTCAGCTGAAAGGAAGAGAACTGAAATATTCATTGTACATATACATCCCAGGTTTGTTCTTCTGTTTTATATATGGGGTGTCTATGCTCATTCCGTGCCCATGATGAATGTATAACTACATCTATAAGTTCTATATCTGGATTTAGTTTACAAATGCCTTGGCAGCTGTGCATTTCTGTAAACTACAGTAACTGACTGACCTAAGTATAGGTTTCCTGTAAGCATCCTGTAGATACTCCTGTTGTATTAGTATCACTCTATTTTACTAGTGTTATTTTCTCATCACAAATTCTATGCTGACCATTTAATTAAGCCAGAACTGATCCAAGACGTATCCACAATCCTTCACATTTCATTTCTACTGGACCTCAAAGCTGAGCCAGTAGTTTCTTTTGACCCAAAACCCCCTGATGAACATGACGTTGGTCAATCCTGACCCAGGAGATAACTCTAATCATTTTACACAAATGGGCAGTGACCATTAACCGGCAGCCTAATCACTACATACATGAAGTAATGGACATTTTATACATTGCATATTTCTATCACCCTTACTAAAAAGATCCATAGTTACACTATGTTTCCTATAGTGCTGTATAATCCTTCAAGCCTACAGTATTTTAATCTAAGATGCCTTTTAGCTTACAGTATTTTAATCTACATTGTATAAGATACAATTAGTCTTGTGACTATATTCAATTTTATGAAGAAATATGATATTATATTCAATATTGTGATGTGCCAACAAGAAGCCAGAAACCCTTAGACATTCAAATGGACAGCAGATGGATTTTAGCACTTGGCAGGAGGATGTATAATGGGTTTCAAGCTGACATGAATCTCTCTGCTACAAGTGGGAGGTTAAAAATTACAGGCCTCTGTAAATTTAGGCAAATATTACTTAGGTGCTACTTGTGATTTGATGTCTTCGTGATTTTATTGCTGTAACTTTTTTAAAAAACATAATGATGTTTGGGTGGTGTAGGGCTTACAGTCTATTTTTTTCAGCCTTATGTTGTCCATGCATTATTTATGTGCAGTTGTATATTATGTTATATTCAGTTGTGTGGGTCGTTTGACGCCATTCACACTCAAATTCAAAAACTCCTTCCCATTTCATTTTTAGTGAACCTCAAAGCTGAGCCAGTAGTTTCTTTCAACCCAAAAGTCCCTGATCAGCATGAGGTTGGTCAACCCTGACCCAAGAGATAACTGTAATCATTTTACACAAATGGGCAGTGACCAGTAACCAGCAGCCTAATCACTACGTACATGAAGTCATGGAAAATTTATACACAGCATATTTCTATCAGCCTTACTACAAAGATCCATAGGTATCCTATATGGTATTTATAGTGCTGCATAATCATTTGATAATGGCCTAATTTCCATGTCATATAATATCCCTGTAGCTGTTTTATAGCAATCTTTAACAGGAGTATAGTATGCAGCAGTAAAGTATACACAGGCAAAATATAAACTTTCAAATAATAGATATGTAATTATGTGTGTGATTTTTGGTATAATTGATCAGTGTACAGATGTGATAGTGTTATCTACAGACTTCAAGGCAACATTTTTAGGTTTTTTGCTGACTTTTTAAGATATATGACAATAAACCTGAGAATACGTGGAGTATGTAAGTAAGACTATGTGATATGATTAGCTGATATGCAAATTGTATGTCTGTCTGAACGTGTCTGTGTCTCTGTCAGCAACACTGAAGACAAATTTCCCACAAGGCACAACACAATTCAGTTCAACAACACTCCCGACATTCTCCAGGGACGACTGTTCTCGTGATCCTGTTGCAAAACGGTTATTTTCAATATTTCGACACAAATTCAAACGCTCACTGCGAAAGTAACACTTATCTTGGCAAACGAGCCAAACGTGCTCACAGTCTTTCGTCCAAACCAACAGGTTCAGCTTCAGCTGTTGTTCGAATTTCCCCGTTCCACCTTAAATCTCATACGCCAGAACGTAACTGCAGCACCATTTAAAGTGGAACGGAAAAATCCGAACGAGAAGCTGACTTCAGCTCTACAGCTGAATGGATATTCCTCATTGCTGTGGACCTGAAGAGAGAAAAAATACCTCCAGAAACAGTATATTCAAAACTGAAACCATCATAATTCCCACAAAACCAAAGAAATGAGCAGTAATTCGCTGTTTGTAAACCGTCGTTTGGTGTAAATTCGCCACACGCTCCGCAGCCGCGGCGCCGTAAACAAGAGCAGTTAGCCAAAAGCCCAAAGCAGCTGCTACTACTGACGATACCTGAGACGACCAGCGCTTCGTTTGGTCCGACCGTGTAGCAGTTTCCCATTTTTATTATCGTCCCGACGCTTTCAGGGGAGATATCCACAGCTCTGTTCAAGCGGTCCTCCTTTAGAAACGCCTCAAAAAAGGCTACAACATAGAAAAATGGCGAGATAAACAGACCCTCCTCCACAGCCCCGCTGCGCTCAGCCACCGCACGCGCTTCACTTGGACCCGCCCATCAGCTCGCGTGACCTCAGCAAGCATAGCGGAAACACCGCCGCGTGCTGTCCGCAAGGGGGCGCACCGGGAATACTTTTCTGTCTTTCTTTCTTTCTGTCTTTCTTTTTAATAAAACGCAGTGCCAGCTCCCCTGTCCTCCCCACTCTAAACGTTACTGGATCGATAATTAGGGTCCAAGCACGTAGGCTACAGATAAATAAGAGGTGCCTTGTGATTCACTTCACTGATCGGAATAACTTTGTAATCACATGTTATGCCATAAATTGAACTCCTTCTCTGGTATTTTGAATTATTCGTTTAAAGACTACAGCTTATTATACCAAGGTCAAAAGGTCAATCTGAACAAAACTCGGTGAACATCTTTGACGAAGGTCCCTCATCAATTATCATAACATATGGAGACCTTTGGACCAATTCTTACCCACTTTCACTGAGCTCCTCTACGTCAAAAGGGCCCCATATGAGTGCATTGGGTCTCATTATGGCATGCATATCAAAGGCTTTGACATGGAGAAACAAAATACTTTGCAAACACAACTAAAACAGAAATGTTACCATTATTTGTGTATTTATGACTAAGTTGACAATATTTTGCATGTTCTACAAACCTTTGTAGGTCAGTACATAGAAATGTAAAAATATATTACGTTTGAAACCCCCCTGCTCATTGTTCATGGCAAATGAAGGCCTTTTGATGAACTCTGACTTCTTTTCAGCCTCTCTGTCTATAAGGCCCAAAACTGCATTAGGCCTTACTAGGCCTGTTTGGGTCAAAGTGCATGAGAGCTTCTTGTGCTTATGCGCTCTTGGACCCGCTCATTGCCACTTGCGACTATATTTCTGTTTTGTTATTGTTATGTTTTAATAGGTTATTGGACATTTCTGACTTTTACAGTATCAAACAAATCACACTGACTTCATTGTTGTAAAGCCAGAGCCTTAAATTCTAAATCTAAGTTCAGCCTTTTTTAGTTTTAACAGTCCCTGGCATTTTATTTATATATAAATGCTCAGCCACCGCACATATATATGTATACACACACACACACACACACACACACACACACACACACACACACACACACACACACACTAAATGGCCAAAAGTATGTGGACACCCTTGTAATTATTGAGTTCTGATGTTTCAGCAACAACCACCCACTGCTAAGAGGTGTATAAAATCCAGCACATATCCATGCAGTTAGCACAGAAAATCTAAAACCAAAGTCTGACAAAGAGTTATAGGAATTGAGCTAATTCATTTGGGAACTATGACAATAAATTCCTTTACAGAAAAACAAAAAATGAATAGAAATTTGGAAGATCAAAATCTTTACTTTTACAAGCCATTTCCAGTAACACCACATTACTCAATGAACTTCTTCTAGGGACGTCTCATGTACACACTTTATATTCATGGTGATGCTTAATTTTTTGGAACGTTGCTGTAGCTACATGGCTCAGATTTTTTAAAATTTGTGGATAATTAGTTTTGTGCATCCAGAACGAATGAAAAAAAAAAGGTTGGTGTGAAACGCTCCATTCTAGAGAAGCTGACTAAGTCAATTGTCCTGGCGGTCATGAGAACCAGATGCCTAAAGTGTTTAATTCTTCTTAAAGCTACATGATGGAAATGATATATTATTTGATATAAAATATTACTTGAAAAGGTTATGAATACGATGCCTAAAACGCTGTTTCACGATACGTGTGAGATAAGGTTTTATTCTAGAAAATACCCCCATTTTGCCATTATTTACATTACACATCTTTCCAATGCATTAATATTCAGCTATTAATTTTATTATGTATAGCCAGAGAGGATTCCTGAAATGAGAGCTGCCATGTCAAAATATTTCTGGAAATATGATTATATGGTTTTCATGAGAGGGAAGTGGGACTCATTCCCCATGTAAGCAGACTAGAGGACTTGAGCCCCATTGAAACCAGCAGAAATTATGCCGATATGTATTTCCCCCAACCTTAAGACCATAGCAAACTTTTGGCCAATTTTGTTACTTTTAGGGTCTTATAAAACCACTCCAAATTATTTTGTTTACATCATAACCACTTCATTATGCATAAAATTTGAAAAATTGGTGGAAGTCCCCTTTAACACCTATCTTTGAAATATCACAAAGTGAGTATTTGTATATAAGTATTAATCTAAATTGGCCAAGGAAAAAAGGTAAGGAGCATTTCTATTGGACAGAACTGACTTCACAGGGGAATCCTGTTTGTGGAATAGCTCTTTAACATTCTCATCAAAAATTCCAGTCACTGTAACAGTGTTTATGGTTTACTTAAGGCCTGGGAAAGGTGCAGAATATCATGATTAGCCAACAGAAGTTGATAAACACACATTCCCACCTCATGGACTGGGGTTAATGGTTTACTTTCTGGCAGATGCTTTGTAAAAATATTGTCTTAGGTAGAATCTGGATTTCTGATTGCATTTTTTAGGCCTGCATTTATTCAGACTTATAGGCTTGATGTGAGCGCTAGGGCTTGGCCATTACAGTTCTAGGGGAAAAAAATCTAAAGAACCTACAGAACATTTATATGTGGAAGTCCTTTAAACTTGCAAATCTCATTTACACAAATGATTCCTCAATTAAACGGTTCTTTAGGATACCAAAAGTGCTTTATCTATGGCCTTGCTCCAACAGGCCTTTTGGCACTTTTATTTTGAAGAGCTCATGTTTAGAATTTGATTTAAAGAGAGGTCCAAAGATTTTTCAAACTTTCTGCATAATCAAATGGTTGAAAAGCGAAGCCATTCAGAGTGGTTTGATGTGAAATGCTCTGTTCTAGAGAAACTTGCCAACATAGAGCTGTTCACAGTGTAGGTGATAGGAACCAGACATCTGAAGAGTTTAACGCTACATCACATGAAAGTGATTACATGGAATTGTTATAAATGCTGCCTGAAATGAGGCTTTAAAATGAGGTTTTAGATTAAAAAAGAGGGGTTACATATTTAGAATGAGAAACGCTCCTGCAACAATAATACTTTTGCACTGCTTCACTGATCTGTCACCTCTGCTGTGCTTCCCAGCTAATCATTAATACCCATAAAGAGTGATTATGTGACCAGCCTTCTTTCATAATCTCAGCTAGGCCAAGCCCATCTCATTCCCTGTCCTGGACCCTGGCGCTTTAGCAAGAAGACAGCGACAGAAGAAACCTTAAGAAGCCATGGCTGGGGAGCTTGAAGCAGGGAGGCCCACATGGAGCAGGCAGATTGAGTTCACTTTGGCTGGGATAGGCTGTGCTGTGGGCCTAGGCAACATCTGGAGGTTCCCTTACCTTTGCTATCGGAGTGGTGGAGGTATGAAACCCTGGCAGAGTCATTCTCCTCTGTTCTGCAATGTACTGATACTGCTTTCGTGTGTTGCCGCATAACTACTGCTAATGTAGTTGAGAGGACAGTTGTTCATTGTAGAAATTCAGTTTATCTAAGGGTGACAGGAGGTACAGAGGTAAAGGTGCTTCAAAACAGAAACAGCGATGGCATATCAGTAGCAGAAAACTGATAGATCAGATATCGGAGGGGAAAAAAGAATGAACCCGCTCCAATCCTGTAACAAATCTATCCTGAAACAGCACTCACTCGCACTGTGTGATGTGATTGTGTAAGCTGTATATTTCTTCCTGAGGTGTAGCAGAGAGTTTGAGTAGTTTGAGCATTATAGCCTACTTTAAGATGGTCATCTTCAGTGAAGCGCTTAAAATATAACTAGCTCATTTTAAAGCTTTATAATTTTTAAAAGAAAAGTATTGTATCAATGTTGGTTTCAATATCGGCTGCAGGGTAACAGCATTACATAATCAGGATACAAAAAGGTAACTGTAATATGCTAGGCTGGCTTAACTCCATGAAACTGTCTTGCAGTTAGTTGCATGTTGTGAGCTGCCTGCAACATTACTTCCCTGTAACTTAACAGTTACAACAGTAATCCATAAACGATAAACTTTGCCTTCACAGATTTGATTACCTCACTAGACAGCCAAATTAGCAGCTTTATAATTGTGTAATTATGTAATTTACTTAACGCAGCATTTTTATCATCTTCATATATTTTTTTCTAGCTTCTACATTCTACCTATTTAGGGTTATTTACTAAATATTTGAGTTTGTAATCTGTTGTATGTACGTTGGTCATGCTGGTTGACCAGCATACCAGCATTCAAAACAACATATGCTGATTTGATGGTGTTTAAAATATTAACAGCTATTGCTGCTGACCAGAATTGTAAACACAACATAGGGTGACCAGCTCTACGCTGCTTTACTGGCAAGAGAAGCTTAATTTAAAAAATGAATGTTTAAGCAACCATTATGCCCTGCTAGAAAAACCAGCAAAGGCCAGCATTGCCGGCCATCAGCAAAAGCAGCATATGTTGTGTGTAATGGAAGTTGATAAGCTGATTACCACCAAAACCAGCATATCGCTGTTGTTGGAAGAAAACCTTGTTTCTCCAAAATGGTAACTTTACAGGAGAAGGTAAAAACCTACTTTACTGTTGATGTAAGTCAATGGAACCAGACTTTTTTACAAGTCATTTTGGGCCATTTCTGTTGGCCCAGTCAACATGAAATTTCTATGCAATGTAAAGGGTAACATGCATTTTCAAATTATGTCAAAAACTGAAAAACATCAAAAATGGAGATACGAGGTTTTCTTCTGACAACAGTGATACGTTATGTTTTAACACTGGTATGCTGGTCAAACACTATGACCATGCTGGGGTGACCAGCTAAACCAGCATCTGACTGGCATAAACCAATCATAGACCAGCTTGAAATGCATGCTGGTCTGTATTGTTTTTTCAGCAGGGTGGTTATGGCCTATTTGACGTCTCATTCATTTCATCCTAGAAGTTCAACAAACTCATCAATGACTGCGTCTCACTTTCCTTTTCTGTAATAATTTTCAGAATTTGGAAATCAATCTGAGCTCTGTGTAAAATTAGAGGGGTTCAAGAGAGGAGAAAATGAATAATGTAGCTTCTCATTGACTGCGGGCTAAAGAAGAACAGAGACACAAGCAGCCTTTAGGGCTAGCTGGCTAGTTAAAGCAGTTAGTTATAGAAGTATTAGCTTTGAGAAACTCCAGAGAGAGAGAGAGAGAGAGCGAGAGAGAGAGAGAGAGAGAGAGAGAGAGAGTTCAGAAGATCAGAAGCAGTAAATCTGCGGTACGTAATCATGAGACACTTGGCCATGATCATTTATGGGCTCATATTCAAAGTGTGCTGGAGTGTCTCAGAATGATTAATGCAAAAATGCAATATTACAATATTATACAACTCAGTAAAGCTTAATATAAAGTAAGATAAGATAAAACATGTTAGCCTCAGCACCAGACAATACACTAACTGACTGTGCAAACAATATAATAAAAGTCCTACAAATCTGACACTGTGCAAACAAAGCAGTGTGTGGAGAGCAGAAGGCAGAAAACGGGCAGCAGTTTAACTGAATAAATGCAGAGTCACGTTTAGGTAAACAGTAGCAGATTGCTGCACGGGTATTTTTTTAAAGTGTGTCTGAAATTCTCACAGAGGTGTCCTTTCACCACATTCCTCATCAATTATTAAAGGATCATCATTCCAGGGAGTGTTTCTGGGAACAGAGAGAGGAGTCAAGAGCACAGCTTCAGTATGAAAATCAGTTTGTCTGTCAGTCACCTCAGTGATTTATCACCTTCTTCTTCTTCCTCATATTCTTTTTTCTTCCACAACTTCTTGTTGTTGTTGTTCTTCTTCTTTTTCTTCTTCTTCTTCTTCTTCTTCTTCCTCATATTCTTTTTTCTTCTGCATCTTCTTGTTGTTGTTGTTCTTCTTCTTCTTCTTCTTTTTCTTCTTCTTCCAGTTCTTCTTCTTCCACTTCTTCTTCTTCTACATCTTTTTCTTCCTCTTTTTCTTCCACATCTTCTGCTTCTTCTCTTCTTCTGTCACATATTCTTTTGTCTTCCTCTTCTTCTTCTGCTCCTGCTACTGCCACATATTTTTCCTTTTCTTCTTCTCCTCATCCTCCTTTTTCTTATACAATTTTTTCATCACATTTTTCATCTTTTTCTTCTTCTTACACATCTTTCTCTTCATCGCCTCATCCTTTCCTCCTCCTCCTTCTACTCCTCCTTCTTTTTCTTTTTCTTCCTACACACTAAAAAAGATTTCTAAAGGCTTTTTTAAGAAAATGTTTTGCATGATTAAAGGGTTCTTTGCAAGGTGAAATGGTTCTTCAGAGTGAGGGAGAATGTGCTGTAGATGGTTCTATATAGTAGCTTTTTGGAACAGGTTCTACATAGCATCAAAAAGGGTTCTGCTATTATTACACGTTTGACATTGTCACAATAGAAGAACACTTTTTGGTGCTATATGGAACCCTTTTCAAAAAGCTTCTATATAGAACCGTCAACAACACATTCACATCTGAAGAACTATTTTCTCTACTACAGAACCCTTGAAGAATCGTCTTTTTAAGAGTGTAGTATCTTTTCAAAATTCCAATTTTCAAGTGTTTTTTGGGGAAATACAGTTTTCTTTTTCAAACTATTGTTAAAAGCATGTAAAAAAATGTTTTGATACCTGGAACAACTGGAAGGTTTTGTGTGCTGGCATCACAGAACAGGTCTAAAATGCCTACGATACAGTATTATTCCTATAGCACAGTCACCGATATTATATTCCTCATAATAAACCTGCTTAGTCTTATATTTTTTCAGTCCGACAAAGAAAACATACTGATTTGAATTAAAGACGTTTTGAAAGTCTAGGTGGGCCCCACATTTTTGATGACCAGATTATGTGTGTCATCCTTAGGTGCGTTCCTGGTGCCCTACCTGCTGATGCTGGTTTTGCTGGGCATTCCTCTTCTCTACATGGAGCTGACCGTGGGTCAGTACCTGAGGAAGGGACCTGTCCATGCTATGGCCAAAGTGTGCCCTCTGCTGAAAGGTACTGCTCTACCACATGCTATATTACATTCTAAACCTACTGTCCACTTTTTTAGAAGCACCTGCTTGAAACTTCCACTCACTGGTCACTTTATAAGCTGCACTTACCTTATAGGTCCACTATATAGGGGTTCACTCACAGACTGTAGACTATATGTTTCTGCACAATTTGGCCTGGTCCAGTACCCAATCATATCCAGCAAAAAGTGACTCTGTGATCAGAAACTGACCACAGATGAAGGGCTAGAGGATGTACACCAGCAAGATTAACCTAAATAAAATTGCTGTTGAGATTACATTAGCATTTAGCAACCACTACATTTGAATTAAGATTTGAATTAAAGTCCGTTTTGATATAAATGTTGTGACCAATTCAGTGTGATTGAACTGTATCTGCCTCGATTTTTCTCCTCAGGTGTGGGCGTGGCCACAGTGGCCATCTCGTTCATCATGTGCACGTACTATAATGTGATCATCACCTGGGCCCTGTACTACCTGTTCAGCTCATTCCAGAGCCGGCTGCCCTGGCAGAGCTGTAATAACACCTGGAACAGACCCAACTGCACCGACTACGCCACCACCAGCTCCTCCACGTCCACCGCCAGCCAGCAGTTCTTCAAGTGAGTTTCCTGGCCTCCCTCTTTCATTTATTTCATTTCCCTCTTCTCTTCTCTTTTCTCATCTTGTTTTCTCTTCTCTTCTCTTCTCTTGCCTCATTTTGTTTTCTCTTCTCTTCTCTCATCTTGTTTTCTCTTCTCTTGTCTCATCTTCTCTTCTCTTCTCTTGTCTCATCTTCTCTTCTCTTCTCTTGCCTCATCTTGTTTTCTCTTCTCTTGTCTCATCTTCTCTTCTCTTCTCTTGTCTCATCTTCTCTTCTCTTCTCTTGCCTCATCTTGTTTTCTCTTCTCTTCTCTTCTCTTCTCTTCTCTTCTCTTGTTTTCCGTCATTTTGTTTTCTCTTCTCTTCTCTTATTTTCTCTTCTCTTATTTTCTCTTCTCTTCTCTTCTCTTGTTTTCTCTTCTCTTGCCTCATCTTGTTTTCTCTTCTCTTCTCTTCTCTTGCCTCATCTTCTGTTCTCTTCTCTTGCCTCATCTTGTTTTCTCTTCTTTTCTCTTCTCTTGTTTTCTCTTCTTTTCTCTTCTCTTGTTTTCTCTTCTCTTCTCTTCTCTTCTCTTCTCTTCTCTTCCCTCAGTATCCATTACAGTGTAAGACAGTCCACTAAATCCACTAAACATATTAGTTAAATGTTCAGTTCTTTGTACAGAGTAACTGTTACTCAGCAGAAACCAGCAGCAGAGGGTCAGACCTTTACCTTCATTAGCAGAAGGCCAGAGTTTATGGGCCCCTTTATGTTTTATGAGCCTTTACATTAGCTCTGATTAGAGTACAGGAGACACTGAAGTACAGAGGGAACACTGTGCAGCTTCACCCTGTTTTGATGTAATTTGTTTGCAATGTATATGAATGGTTTTGAATATGCAAGGCTCTCTTACTATGATTCAGATCCAAACGCTGCCTTTGAAGCTAAACAATTCTTTACTTGCAAACACAGAACAGTCAGATAACATTGAGTTGACTGCATTTGCCAATGTGTTTGCCTCAGTTATAAAATGCTGGAGAGGACTTCAGGAGTGGAGGAGACTGGTAGTATGAGATGGGAACTCTTTCTCCTCCTGCTGTTGGCATGGCTTCTCGTCTACTTCTGCATCTTTAAAGGGGTCAAGTCCACTGGAAAGGTAAGGAAGTCAAGCATGGAAATCCAGTAATGAAAAGGGGATTTGGTTTAGAATTAGAGAAACATGGGGAAGGCACAGCAAGGTGCAGCGGATACATGGCATCACAATAAAAGTGGATGAAGTTCATTGGGCCTCCACTCCAAAACAGTTTCACTATCCCCTCTGTGTCACAAACTGCTTGATAAATTGTTACTTCTAGCTAGGAAGTTAGTAGTTTTCTTAATAATTGGCTAAGGGGAATGGCACCTTATGTTAGTGGTATAGGAAAATATTTAGGATACTTCCTCATGAACAATTACCTGCAGTACTCAGGGGCAGCGACCTGTTATTTATGAAAATTTGCTGACCATTCATAGAGCATCTGCCTCCTGAACTCATAGATACTATCGTAAAAGGTCAGTACTCTTTACAATGGAAATCTGCTATAAGAACAGTTGGTAGGTAGTGTATGTGGGATCCTGGTGAAGTGAAGGGCAATGAATGGGATCAGCAAATCCTTGTTTTAGTAAATTTGTTTTTCTATATCTCTTCTTTTTGAAATATTCCTTTTTCTTTTTTGAGGATGGCCTTGTTTTGGTTGGGATGGGGGGGGTCATATGTATATGTACTTGTTCTCATGGTACCACATACCCACTGCTCATGAATGTAATTGCTAAAAATCACCAAAAATATTATGTTTAAAAGGAAAAAAGTGGGTGAATATTACAAGGGCCTGCTTGCTAACTTGTAGGATAAATGGCATGGGCACTAGGGGGCCTGTGGAAAGAGCCAATTAAAGCTACAGTGAAATCAAATTATATGTGGAAAAATAAAAAAAAGCAACGTGTTAACCTATTTTGATACTATAATTCATTTGTACTGTAATTTGTAGGTGGTGTACTTCACAGCTCTTTTCCCTTACGTGATCTTGGTGGCCCTGCTTATCAACAACGTTCAGCTCCCTGGGGCCACAGCAGGTATCCGGTTCTTCATCGTGCCTGAGTGGGAGAAGCTACTGTCTGTGGAGGTAGGAGAGGAGAACGACTGGAAAGAAAGAGCTTTGGGAAATGAAAACACTTTGATAAAGCATGAATAAAGAGAGGACTATAAAAAATGTAGAGGAAGAAAGAGACTAAATTACAGCAATGATAGAGTGGAGACAGATCGAAATACTACTACACTGTGTCCAAAAGTTGGTAGACATCTGCTCATCGTACATTTCTTCTGAAATCAAAGGTAGTACCGCTGTTCTCAGTTGCTTTAGCACATTTTCTGAAACAAAAACCACATTTACAGTTTATAACTCACTCAAAATGTATCAAATGTATCACTTGTATTAAAGTGAATTAAACCCATCAATCAGTATAATCACTGTTACCACATAAATACACTGAAAGTGGTGTTTAAGGAGCTGAGACAAAACTATACAATGTGCTACATTAACACAGTTCTTGGTAAAGTAGTATACTTATTGAGACAGCAATTGTATATGTAACATACTGTATTCATTTCAGACTGTTTAGCTTATTATTATTTATATTATTTCATTATGAAAAATTCAAAGCACCATTTTTCAGTGTACCAATTTCAACAACATTTATTCACTATTTTTATTGCACAATATACCTTTAGAGGGGCTTTTTACCCCTCTGGTTCACATTCAGCATTGGGCATGGTGACCAGGCTCATGTCTGACAGAGCATCCCGTTCTATTGGCAATGCTTTTTTGTGGAGATAATACAAGCTGTTTGCTCAGTTAAACACCTTTATCAGCAAAAGCACCTCAAAGTAGCTGATTCACTAATAAGAAGGGGTGTCTGGATACTTTTGGACATATAGTGTAGATGTGTAAGTGGAAATGAGGATATAGATCCCACGTGTCAAACACAAGGCCAGGTCAGGCCAATGAATAGGACACGGTCCTATTCTGCCCACGAAATGATTTTAATTTTCTAATCTTACTAGCCCGTTTTACCCTGAGATGCACTACAGTCCCCAGCATGCACTGCAACATAGTGTGTGTTCTGACCCCCGTCCCCCAACAGCAATCTATGCGCCAGCGGTTACACTAAAAGAAAAGATGCCTGGTGTCTAGTTCAGGCAAATAGGCAGTTTTAAAAGATCTACCTAAAACAATTTTTATTTAATTTTTTTTTTATTTTTGAATAAGTATTCAATGCCTATTTTGCTGTTGCAGTTTTAGTATATTTAAAAAAACTAGGGCCCGTTCAGGTCAGGGCAAAATGGCAAAAACACAGTTAACAGCCCACAGATTTGCTGAGAATTTTTTAATATGGCCCTTTTAGTGGTTGAGTTTGACACCCCTGATATAGATCCGTGATCCAGGGTATTGCTAAGGGAAACACTTGTGTCTTGTCTTGGCTGTTTCAGACAGCGTCTTTGTCTTGTCTGTAGGTGTGGGTGAATGCAGCTGCTCAGATCTTTAACTCCATTGGGATCGGCTTTGGCTCACTCATGGCCATGGCAAGCTACAACTCCTTCAACAACAACGTGCTGAAGTAAGACTGGAATTTGTTCACCATACTGTCTAGAGAACAAATACAAAACTCCTCAAGTACTGAGTCCCTTATAGAGATGCAAAGTAACTTCTTACATTGACATCTATCAGTGTAGGAACTGACGTTTGTAAAGTGCTGTTTGTCTCTCAAAATCTTTATTTGTTTAGAATGAAATTTTAGCAGAGCAGAAATCAGTTGCTACAAAATGTTTTTATAGAAATACACCTTCTGTAGATTCAGTCATTTCATACATTCTTAAAAATAAAGGTGGCTTAATAGTTCTTGGCTTGGGTGTACGGTTCTAAGAAAAAAAACTATAGAACCTTTACATTATCTGAAGGTTCTCCAGAGTTTAAAAAGGTTGTTCACGCATCTCTTTAGTGTTTACAAAACTGGAGTTGACAGTGCTGATGTGCTGGTGAGTCCAACTTTCAATGTAACATCCTAGAAATGTTCATCTCTACTCGCACCTCATCAATTCCCCCTCCCCTGTTCCTCAGTCCTTTCTCTGTCCATGAAGTGGATGTCCGGCTTTCTAGCTTAAAGCAGAGGCCGTCCAAAACTCCAGCCTAAGCTCTCAGAGTTCTCTCCCCTCTTTCAGTCATATCGTCGCTGTCCAAAGGAAAATCTCCAGAATGGTAACCTTACAGGAGAGGCCAAAAACATTCTTCACTTTCAGTGTAATTTAATGTAAAGAGGATTTATTCCTAGCAATTTTGGAGCATTTCTATTGGTCCATTCATCATGATTTTTTTCCACAATTTCTGCCGTGCACAAATGATGTAGAAACTCTAAAGAACCATCCACTGAAAAGTTCTCAAGGGAACCAAAGTCATTATTCCATGGCAGAGTATCCTTTTGGCACCTTTATTTTTAATAGTAAAGGCCACTTTGTATTTCTGTTCTATTGCTGTTGGAACTTATTAGGAGCTTCAATTTATCATGATCTTTTTTTATGAAGAGTGGAGCCATTTATCTTTCACAACCTATGCTGGACCCAGTTTCAAACATACACTATATGGACAAAAATATTGGGACTATCAATATGGAGTTGGTCCCCCTTTGCAGCTATAACAGCTTCCACTCTTCTGGGAAGCTTTTCTACAAGATTTTGGAGCGTCTGTGGGAATTTTTGCCCATTCATCCAGAAGAGCGTTTGTGAGGTCAGACACTGATGCTGGACAAGAGGGCCTGACTCACAATCTCTGTTCTAGTTCATCCCAGAGGTGTTTGATGGGATTAAGGTCAGGGTTCTGTGAGGGCCAGTCAAGTTCTTCCACACCAAACTCACCCAGCCATGACTTTATGGACCTTGCTTTGTGCACTGGTGCTCAGTCATGCTGGAACAGAAAAGGTTCTTCCCCAAACTGTTCCCACAATGTTGGAAGTATACAACTGTCCAAAATGTCTTGGTCTGCTGAAACGTTAAGATTTCCCTTTACTAGAACTAAGGGTCCTAGGCCAACCCCTGAAAAACAACCCCATTATCCTTCCTCCACCAAACTTTACAGCTGGCTCAATGCAGTCAGGCTGGTAACTCCTGGCATTCGCCAAACCCAGACCCATCCATCAGACTGCCAGATAGAGACGCATGATTCGTCACTCCACAGAATATGTTTCCACTGCTCCAGAGTCCAGTGGTGGTGCTTTACACCTCTCCATCTGATGATTGGGATTGTGCTTGTTGATGTAAGGCTTGCATGCAACTGCTCAGCCATGGAAACCCATGAAGCTCCTGGCGCACAGTTTTTGTGCTGTTGTTGATACCAGAGGAGGTTTGGAACTCTGTAGCTATTATGTCAGCAGAGCGTTGGCGACTTTATGCACTATGCTCCTCAACACTCAGTGACCTGCTCTGTAACTTTACATGGTCTGACACTTCATGGCTGAGTTGCTGTGGTTCCTAAACACTTCCTCTTTTCAATAATACCACTCACAGCTGATCATGGAACATCTGAAGGGGGAAGAAACTTCATGTACTGAAAAAATGGCATCCTATTACAGTACCACCAAATTCAGTGAGCTCTTTAGAACGACCCATTCTTTCACAAATGTTTGTAGAGGCAGACTGCATGGCTAGGTGCTTGATTTTAGACACCTGTGTCAATGGGACTAAATGAAACACTTAAATGTGTCCCAATACTTTTGTCCATATAGTGTATGTTTAGTGTACCTGCTGTTTTCACAGTATGTTGTGTCCTCAAAAATGCAGACGTCAGGTTCATTTTTTGACATTCATTTTGTGTGACCTTTATTGACATGTTTTTCATTGTGTATTGCAGGGACACCCTGGCCATCGCCATCACTAACTCATTGACTAGCATTCTGGCTGGGTTTGTGATATTCTCTGCGTTTGGCTACATGTCTTACCTGCAGAATATTCCAGTCAGCGAAATTGCAGTTGATGGTGAGTTGCAGGTTCTGGGGCATATTTCACTGGAGACATAGAATTCACAGTTACTGTAACAACACAATTAATAAACATTTCTAGTGTAGGTTGTCTCTGGTGCCATCCTAATAGATTTTTGAAAGATGTCATGTATGTCTTGCAGGTCCAGGCCTGGTGTTTGTGGTTTACCCACAGGCTTTTGTGACGATGCCAGTGGCCCCAATGTGGGCAGTGTTCTTCTTCTTCATGCTCCTCTGCCTTGGCCTGGACAGCCAGGTACAATCAGACCTGTTACATTTTAAAAAACACATTTTAAAGTTCCAGCCTGCCAACACACTGGCACACCATCCAGAAAGCAATTTAATGAATAACATCACGCCTGTGGTTTGGTTGTGGCGTGTTGTAGATAATTACATGGAGCTAATGGGCTGTAAAACCTCATTCCCTACATATGCTACTGAGAGAGAGTGAAGCAGAGTACAAGTAGCCAGCTTTGTGTCTAAACCACAGTCTTAAACAAGGCAGTCTCAAAATGAGATGTTCCATCAGGAGCAGGCATGATAATTTCTCTGAACTAAACAATACATGTCTGTAATTTGTAGTTCATCTTTAGAATGACCACGCTTGCTGTGTTTAAATTTTGCAAGTATTGTAGTAATACTTTTAACTTACTAAGTTTTGGTTGGAAAGGGGCTCATTTCTTGAAACACCTAAGGTTTTTTTCCCCTTGTTTAGGACTTCAGGAGCTGAACTGAAGGCTTAATGCTTTAGATGAACCAACAATGTAATTTCAACTGGAACTGGCCAATCATGTTTTGATTTACAATGGGCGGGACCACTTTCATGAGAAAAACGTCTCTTTAGGCCTTTGGGAAGTTCTAGATACGTCAGCAGGGCCATAACTAGGATCAAAATTTTAATGAGGTTCATTTTGAAGAAACGTGTGTATTACACTAGGTCTGGGCGATATCTATGAATAATAAGTACAATACTTGTAATTGCGCTAACTGCTGGAGGAACTTCAAACTGTAAGCGCTTTCCAAAGCCATGCCCACATGCTTTACAAATCAAAAAAACAAAAGAAATTTCAACTAACCATTAGGACACTTAAGCTGGATGGAAAATACTGCAAATTTTACTCTGTAAATCACACGCAGCAGAGACAGTATGGTGTTTACTGTAGCATTTTAAAGCCCCCATTATAACTCAGAGTTTTTAATGCAACAGTATAAGTGAGAAAAACATTGTGTGCATGTTATTTAACATTATTTATCACCCTTTGTGATCCTCCTTCGTTGTAGAGATACGTGCATGCACAGCAACCCCAGAAAAAGCAGAGATGCAACAAATAATTTATTCTGGTTTTGTCATATTTTATCAGTGATTTCAAATTAGTATTTGAAACATTAATATGGCTTTTGGTTATGGTTTTATAGTTCTCTCCCTATTTAAAGAGATGGGAGCCTCGTCTTTCACTAATAGAAATAACTGCCCTGCCAAGATGGCCGTCGAATGGACAGACTGTCCTATAATGACTTTGCTATAACTTCAGCCAAGCTTGCTTAGGCTTTAGCTGGCACATGGCTTTTGGGCCTATATGTGCAAAGAACATAAATGCTGATCTATGAACAGCTTTCTTCTTATAATGATCTTAGTCATTATAATCTGAAACCTATAGTGACCTAGAAGCAGCGCTCCTACTCTGAGAGGCTTTATGAAGATCTCCAGATGTCTGATACGGCTTAGTAACTGACCTAAATGAAAGCTGTTTGTACTGACTGGACTGAAAGGAAGTGGGTAAAGCTGTTGTGTGTTCTTTCTCAACATGAGGTTATCAGCAGAGGAGAAATCAGCTATAAACACAAGTGAAACAAGGTGAAGGTTAGAATCAGAGCATTTGTATTAAGAAATAACTAACATTCAAAAGTCAAGTGTACAGTGCTTTAACAACAGGGATGACTTTGTTCTCTATATAGTTCATCGTCTAATTCATATGACTATTTTAGTGTTTATATGCATACATTACTGTTCAGTTTGGGATCACTTGTTATATAATACTTTTTGCTGTTTTATATGCAAAATTACACATGCAATGTATTAAAATGATAAAATACAGAACAGAAGGCATTTTTAGAGGTTTTATTCTATTTATTATTTTTTTAATGGGTCATGTTAAATTACAACTAATATACTCTGAGCATTTATTTGCAGTATTTTTATTATCATCCTCAAGATTTGATCACCACTTTTCTTTTGGTATTATGCATATTTGCTTTATCAATAACAAATTAATTATTCTCATAACTTCATTCTCTGTGATACAGCTTTCTCAGTCTGGATTCATATACATCTCTGTCCATCATTCTGGATGCATCTAAGAGTTATTTTACAACTTCCTACTAATTATTTGAAAAATTCTGAAAATATTACCAAAATATTACAGATAGGATTAAAAATATTGATGCCAAACTGTTCCATGATGTTTCCAAACTTTTGTACAGTAGTGTACATGTATATTTATACTGACACTGATACATGTGCTGTATGTGCTGTAGTTTGCAATGGTAGAAGTAATGGTGACCAGTTTGATGGACAGCTACAGCAAGCCATTGCTGAAATACCTCAGGCAAAAGGAACTGCTGGTTTTGGTAGTGTGCAGCGCGGCTTTCCTCCTGGGCATCCCTCATGTCATGCAGGTAAAAAATACTGGATTGGGATACATAAAATAGTAATGTATTATGTTACCATTCATGTCTATGGCAAGCTGATAGTAGATAAAGGGGCCCTTTTTATTGCATGGTATTTTTTCCCCTGAGGTCCACTAACAATGTTTGTCTGTCTTTATGCATAAAAAACAAGTTATTGTCACAAGACCATTTTTCACCTCTATTTGAATTAAACAGGCTGTTTTGTTACTATGTGTGTAAGTATGTATATGTATATAATTTTCTAAGTGAAAATAAGTTAACACATCCTCTGCAGGGCACTTAAATATGGCTTTTTTTGTGCAAATTTTAGCACATACATTTTATTTGTTTGCTGAGTCTGTGGGGAAATATTGGTGTGCCACAACACAGATACGGGCAACATTTTATGTTTTATTTTCCCCGCTATGTTAGATTCAGCAAATAAACACAAATTGTGCATTAAAATGTACAGAGGTTGGTTTCCTGTAGAGGATGTGTTAACTTATTTTCACTTTTTTATTTATTTAATTTCTTTTCAAAGTCAACAAAACATGTCATTTGATCAGGGTGCCCAAACCTTTACATACAACTGTATGTTGTTGGGAGTGGAGTGACACACAAGAAATATCAATATCATAATTAATACCCCCCCCTTATTGGAGAAATAAAAAAACTATTTTATACATGAGCTGTTGTTCTTTTCAATGCTCGTCTTGTTCTTCCCAATGCATATAAAGAATTTTCAGTTCTGTTCTGACTGGCTGACCCTTTCACAAGTGACATGAGGCATACATCATTTAAAAATGAGTCCAGGCTTAAATGTTTAGGACTATTTACTACAATGACTTGACAACTATGGTTAATGCAAAACTGTTCTTGCATCTTAAATTCCATTTTACGGAAGGGCCATTTTGAAACAGTGCACACTGTATTTACAAAAATAATTACAAGAAAGCAGGGAACATTTGGTACGGGCCCCTACAGAGAACTAGTGCTGCATTCTGAGTTACATATCAACAGTGAGCAACCTCTGATGATAGTTAACAACCTCTGATGGTTTTCCACAGGTTGGGATTTATGTGTTCCAGCTGATGGATCACTACACTGCCATAGTGTCCATCATGTTCCTGGCCTTTTTCGAGGTGGTGGCCGTTTGCTGGTTATATGGTACGAGCAACACACACATTCCTAACGTCCTCCTTTGCATACTGTGCCAAGCATTTGATTTTTGTTCATCTGCCTACATATGACAGGCACATACATTATATGAAAAAGTTTGAACACCACCGGTTGTTGATTTTCCAAGTGAAAATAAGTGAACACGTTCTCTGCAGCGACAAACTTAATGTAGCATTTGCATTTTCTGCAAATTTTAGTGCTGAATTTCTATTTGTTTGCAGGGTTTCCCAGAGTGTGATTTACTGTCTGAGAAACATTCACAGCATTGTTCGTACAGCTGTTGTGTCCCAGTGGTTCGAATGAGTTAAATTCGGAACATTTTGAAAATAATATGCTACATGCTTTCTGAAAGGCCACACTGTATGTTTGATTTTTTCCAATACGTTAAATTCTGCAAGTAAACAGCATTTGTGGATTATAATGTGTGGAAGTGTGTTCTCTGTAGAGGATGTGTACTAGGCCTGGGAGATAAGGTGTTGTCAACACATATTGTGAATGAGGGACAAGTAAACCGATGATGATGCTTAAAGGCGATAATCGCTGTGTTTGAAACTAACAGGGAACTGGAGAGGACTGATTTACCTTTAAAAGCTTGCTAAACAATATTAATTAATGTGCACGTTTTTTCACCATAACTGTTAAAACATTAGGTTAATATGGGACCTTAGAAAGCTGTGAGGCTATAGTAGAGGAAATTCCCCACTGACTCTGCTGTGGGTTTCCCAGAGTGCGATTTAGTCTCTGAGAAAAATTCACAGCATTTTCCGTCATTATTGTTCTATTGTAGGTCCCGGTGGATCAAATGAGTTAAATTCTGAACATTATGAAAATACTATTCTACATGCTTTACCAAAGCATCTTCTTCCTGTAAAGGTTACAGATGAAATCCAGAGTAACTGTGCTATAAAAACAGAAACAGACTTGTTTTTTCATTTGTAAAGCACTTGAGCATGGCTTTGGAAATCAAATTATTTGGAGCATGTGTAGCAGTCTGACATTTGTCCAGCAGGGGGCACATTAGCACACATGCCGCCATGAACCTACAAAACAAGTAACTCATGAACGCGCATGTTTGCAGTAACATCTATTAAAACAGGTAACTCAACGTCTTTAGTTTTCAAAAGATGTTGAGTTACTCAAGTTTATATTATTAAATAGATTTTCATGTACACATTTAATGTTTCAAAAAAAGATAAAAACTAGAAATAGAATAGAAAGTAGGTCTGAGTTGCTGCAGACTGTATTGGCAGGGCGATAGAATCGATAATCGGGATTCTTCAACTGGTAAACATTGCATATGTATTGTGTAATATGCACTTATCGTTCACTTAGAAAATCAACAAAATGTAATTTGATGAGGGGTGAGCAAACTTTTGCATAACACTGTATTTAATCTTTTCCTTAAAGTCCAAACAGAAAAAGAGAGAAAAAAAATCTATCAACTTTTTTCAAATCTGCTTTGAGAATCAAATCCTGCTCCCATTTGGAGGTAGTCAAATGACCCTCACAGTCAAATCATGAGGTCACTTTTATTCTACTAGACCAGAATGGCACCCTTTTCACCAGCTTGTCTGTCGTGTTCTGTTCTCAGGGGTAAGGCGTCTGTCCAGTAATTTAGAGGAGATGACGGGGAAAAAGCCCAACATCTTTTTCAGAGTTTGCTGGATATTGATCTGTCCTTTACTGGTGACGGTGAGTCGCATGAGTCACTGTATTTTTCTCTGAATTGTCCTACAGTTTGGAATCTCTTTAACACAGCACAGACAGACACAGACAGACAGAAAATTAAAATTCAGCGTTACTGAATACGTTTCAGAAAAGAATTATGAATAGCGTGCGAAGATTTTGATATGCTATATATGATATGCTATATATTATATATATGATATATAATTTTTGCATAATTCACTCGTTGAGTCATTCAGAGTGTTTTGAGTCACACTGGAACCAGGGGATGCGATACCTACAATGCAAATATGGCTATTTTATTTAATTTCCAAAATGACCAGAATATCTACAGGAACCTACACATTAATAATGAAAAAAGTAGTGATAAATCTGAAAAAAATGTTTTTTTAGGGTGCTATTTCCCTTACAAAATCTAAATACTATAGTAAAATAATGTCCTAGGCATCAGGTAGCGTATTCATAACCATTTCATGTAGAAGCGTCCTATGAGGAAGCTTTTAGAGGCATTAAACTCTTCAGACGCCTGGTTCCTATGACCAACACTGTGAACAATTCTGACTCTCCAGGTTGCTCTAGAACAGAGCATTTCACACCAAACCACTCTGAATGACTCTGTTCACCATCTTAACCATTTCATTATGCAGAGACTTTTGAAAAATCTGTGAAAAGAGTTTCATAGTCTATAATATATACAACCCAAATGCAGCCAATCAGCTAAAACGTTTGTCTGAACGTTCCATCTTTAGTTTTGCATTGGAGCATCGAAATGTGGCTAACAAGTAATTCAGGCTTGTACCAAGTAGGGCTGCATGATGATATCGGAATCCTTTTGGTGTTGGCAGATGTTTGCTTTAAAACAATTATCGGTTTAACTGATATTTTAAACCAGCATTTGATGACATAATGTAAGAAGAGCAGAATGTTTAGGCGATGTTGGGCTACTGCGCTAAAATATTTGCATTTTACTGTATTTGCAACCCTACAGAAATAAGTGTTATATTCCGTAATGCTAATCCAGGGGGATTTAATCCTAAAATCTATATTTTATAAATGTTTATGTATCAACTTCAGAAGATATGTTCACGAAAAATATTGGTTATCGGCCCACAGTAATAGGAAATGGCCTAATGGTTTACAAAATAGACCACTAGTTTCCTGTGGAACACCTTTAGATCCTGTTAGGAAACCATCAGATGGATTTAGAATCAGCCATTGGTCAGCTGTTAAACCATTAAAGCCCTTTATGCTTTGATATCAACTCATCAAAAAGGCCAAAACACATCAAACCATAAGGAACCAACAGAAACACGTAACTGTTTCTGTGTTTTTTTTCAACAGGGTTGGCATGATTGAGTAAATTAGATTTTTTTTTGTCAAACTGTAATTTTGTACTTTCTTCCTTAGATAATTCTAGTGTTCTCAGTGATTCAGTTCAAACCAGCACGCTATGAGAATTACATGTACCCGGCCTGGGCTCAGGGCATCGGCTGGGTGATCGCCATGACGTCCATTATCTGGATACCACTGGCAGCGCTGCACACGCTGTGGGTTCTGCCAGGTTCCTTCACTGAGGTAATAAATCAGTCCTTCTATCTGCAGCCATCCATTCATCCATCCATCCATTTGACTCTCCTCTTATTTAATTTCCCCTCTGTCACTCTTTGGCAGCTCATTCAGTCAGCCTTCAGGCCTGTCATAACAATCGCATGCAAAAGTTTGGGTGCCCCTGGTCAAATGTTTTAAATGCACATTTACTGTTTACTGAATTTAACACACTGGAAATGTGGTCTGTGTAAAAATTATGACATTTTATGTTTTCTTTTCTTCCAATATCCAATACATTCCCGGAAATAAATAGAAATTGTGCATTAAAATGCCATATTTAAGTTTGTACAGGACTTATTTTCACTTACGGAATCAGCATGCCATTTGACCAGGGGGGCCCAAACTTTTGCATACAACTTTACAGTATATTGACTGCACCTGTCTTCTGCACAGTTATGTGCTTTGTCTTCTTTTTCATCAAGGTCTTTTTATTAAATAACATTAAATAACTCACAATAAACAAAAGACAATCCCACACCCCCAAACCCACCCATCCCACCCTCCAGACCTACATCAATGAGACAAAGCTGCATAAATTCCAACATTATATAAAAACGGACATATATAAAAATTCTTGGCTTCCATTTTTTCCACATATGTTAGGAAAGGCTGCCAAATGTCAAGATCTGTACAGATCCTTGAAGAAAGTATCTTCTCTAGCTTGAGATGTTGCATAACCTCGTTGTTCCACTGAGAATAATTAAGGGGAAGAGGGTCCTTCCACCTAAGCAGTATTAATTGCCTGGCCAGCAAAGTGCCAAAGGCCAATATGTTGCATTTATGATTGTTTAGTTGGGTATCTGGCGGTGCAACACCAAGTAATTCAATATAAGGAGAGTAGCCTATTGGTTCTTCCAGAATTTTAGAGAGTACAAAAAAAAAATAGATTTCCAAAAGTGATGTAGTGATGATTTGGACACGTCCAAAATATATGTAGTAGACTTGCAGGGTCCTGCTTGCACCTATCGCATGTCTAATCTTACTCTACACCAATGAAGTCAGTGTACTACCTTGAACTGTATAACAAAATGCCTTTGACAAATGGAAGATGAGTCCATTCTTCAAATAATGTTCTGCCAAGTTTCATCTGGAATGTGCTCAGCTATGTCCTCTTCCCACCGGCTCTTAAGATCATCTAAAGCTGTCAAATTATGAGAGATGAGAAGCTCATATGTCCTGCCAGTACACTGCTTAATGTGCTTTGTCTTCTTCCAGAAACTGCGAAAGTCCATCAGACCGTTTGCGCTGGATGAAGCCGAGCTGAGCCCGTACTACCTCCAGAAGAGAGGTGTGCTGGAAGTGACGTCGAACCTCGCTGTTATCAGCTCAATCGTCCCTCTGCCTGAAAAACCTCCAATCCAGACCAATTTGTGACCTGGTGATCTCAGACTCGCTCCCAGGCTACAGCAGCTCTGGACCTTGCTTTGCTACGGGTCAGGTCTGGTTGTCATAACTGCTCTGGTGAAGTGTGGAGATGCAGAAGAAAGGCTTTAGAACATTTACAAGACTTTGCCTGATTTTGAAGTTTCTTGCCTTGATTTTCAGCCAGGAAAAATGGACTATGCAAGGCTCCAGCAATCAACTATGGATTTATGTAAATCATACTCAGTTTTAAAACATTTTTTCCCCAAAGACAGCCTACCTTCTAAAATTAGCCAGAGTGAGTCTCAAAACAGAAATGCAACTTCCTGGGCAAGAAAAATGATCTGGAATCCCGCTGAGCCATCTTGCTGCACTCCATACGCCAATCTCAAGAAACATATGCCAGTTTCTCTATATGTAAAAGTTGTACATGTGGAACCACTTTTATATCATGTTTTAATGTTATTTAATTATTTTATGCAATCGTAACATATACAATGTACATTTATACACGAGACACTAAAAGATGTTTAGAAGATTTCAAGTATTTTGGAAAAAGCAAGGAGCTATTAAATCATTTTATACTATAATTATGTACTTACAATCACATTTGTCCTACGCCAAATTCTTGGATCACCACTTTTCAAATATAAGACATTTTAGATGTTAATCTTATTCTAACTTTATTCTTAACAGTGCTCTCAGCCTCTAGACTACACTTTAGTTTCCTACTAATTATTTGGAAACTGTAAGATTGTATAATATTGGCCTATATGAGTCATTTTACGCATTTATTGACAAAATTGTTTGTATATTATTCAACACAGCGATTCCAAACTTTGCGTTTGGCGCCACTTTCTGGTCAGAGAAAATATTGCAGAATGTTTTCTAACTGTGAATTTATATAAACACTAATTTAAACATTTTAATGAACTGTTTTTTTTTTTATGTTCATCCAGTCACAAAAAAGGGAAACCTATATAAACCTGTAATAACACTGCATTGGGGTTAGAGCCTAACCTTAGCCCAAACAGCACTGTCAGTGAAGATACTGCACTGAAAAATAAAGGACTCTGGAACACTGACCCTCCTCCACACACAGCCCATGAGTAAGATACGGTTAGATAAAGTTCTTTTGTCTTAGAGTCCAAAGGGTGAGAGAACTTCAGCAAATGGTTTGAATTCCTCTTCGATTTTTAAATCATTTCCTCAGTAGCCTTTTGTTTTAAAGACAGATTATATGCACAGGGGGTGTTGTGGAATCTAACAATGAGACTCAATAGTATTTACCAATCGCACTAACAAAATAGGGCTTTTTTTTCAGAAAAAGGCTGTGTTTGGTCTAAACAGAGGACAAAGAGCAATGATTAGCTGGCAATTTGTATGATAATGCAAAAAAAAAAACAACCTCCACTCTTTACAGGAGAAGGCAAAAACATTCTTAACCTTTGTAATGTAAGTTAATGTCATTTTAGAGCATTTCTATTGTTCCATTCATAGTAAAATGTAAAGAGCAGCAGCTGAGCTCAAATGGCTTCTCTTAAAGTAAGAAAAAGAACCAGATGGGCACTCTTAACTATAAGTATATTTGGCCCACCAGTCCTTTTATTTCACTGATGTTGGAACAAATCAACCTATTTTGCCATTTTACAGTTTTTGACATAATTTGAAAATGCCTGTTGTCCTTTACATAGTACGTAAATTTCATGATGAACGGACTAAAAGAAACAGCCCAAAATGACTTGGAAAAAACTCTGGTTCCATTGACTCACATTAAAAGTAAAGTAGGTTTTTTCTTTCTCATTTTGGATACAAGGTTTTGTTTTGACAGCCACATTTTCTATGAAGAATAACATGCATAACATTAAGCTGTAACGTTAAGTTCTATGCATTAATATATATATATATATATATATATAGCCAAAAGTGGCAAAACATTGATGGGGTTTAAATCTGGACTCTGATTAGGCCACAACCTTTAGTAAAAACCCTTATATTTTCGGTTTGGCACATTATGCACGTATATATACATATGATAGGAACCAGATATCTGAAGCCTCTAACAGCTTCAGATATCATGAAAATGTTGCCTAAAACATTCTTTTACAATAGTTTTGAGATGAGATTTTGGCCTAAAACATTTTTTAAAATCCCTTCATGGCAGAAAGATACATGCAGGATGCTGTAAAGACAAACAGCCCCAAAGAAAACTTATTTTTCACATTTATCTCTATTTTACCATTATCAGCATAAGGCTGGAAATATGCTGCCATATTTGTACATAAAAATATATAATGTTATATATAAACAGGTTAATAATGGCTATAGTTGCGTTGCAGACAATCATCCTATCATCCCCACTGTGAAGAAATCTGCAGTGCATAGTGCACCACTTCACATTAACCCAGGGGTGCACAACTCCGCTCCTGGAGGGCCGGTGTCCAGCACAGTTTGGTGATTTACCTGCTCCAACACACCTGATTACACTTATCTGTTCATTGCCAGATTAAGTGGGTGTCTTTTAGGGGGGAAATCTCCAAACTGTGCTGGACACTGGCCCTCATGGACTGGAGTTGTGCACCCCTGCATTAACCCACTCTGAACGCACGCTGAATTATGCAGCAAGTCCATTTTTATTGTTTGGCCTCATTTAAGAACTCAGATTACTTCATTAATCTTCAAAATGATCAGTAGATTACTGGATTACTAATAAAGTCAGCTGTGATAGCCCTGTTGTACAGCTGGAACCCGAGTATTTTGTATTCAGCACACAGATGGACTGAAGAAACAGAAAACAACTCAGAGCGTTAATAAGCTTTTAAAATGTTTAATTCATGAGAACATCTGCCTTATCCATACACACTCGAGCAAAAGTAGGACTGCTTTAAAATGTGCACGCGCAAAGGTTAGTCACATGTTTCTAGGAAATGGTGTCAGTGTCTTACAGTGTCCTTCGGTGAGAGCCCAAAGTGCAAAACTAATTTTACACAAAGGTGACTTCATGACATCGAGGTACTTTAAAAGCCTTCGCCTGTTTGACGTCACGCAGGTTTAAGAAAGCATGACCGCTTTAACCCTTCGCTGGTGCACAACTGAGGCCCAGGCACTGAGCATCACGGGCACTTTTGACTCCGAAAAATCAGACTGGCTGAAAGTAATCAAATTAGGATCGAATTAGGTGGAGCAACTCACTGTTATGAAGTTATGAAAACTGTCTACATACAATCAAAAGTTAGAATACTTATAAAAATAATACAATAATCATCACTGTAACACTTCACGTAGCAATTATAAAGCATTATGAGGTGCCGTATGAAGGCTTGTAACACATCTGTAATGGATTCTTATAGTGTTCTTATACAATGACTTGTAAGTCATTAAATAGTCGTGTGCAAAAGTTTAAACACCCCTGCTCAAACTGCATGTTTTGTTGATTTTGTGTGTGAAAATAAACACATCGTCTACAGTGAACACACTTCACTATGGTGTTTTTTAACGACCTTTAGTGCACAATTTCTATTCATTTGCTGAGTTTAACATAAAAAAACCAAACATCAAATATAAAATGTGCAGTAACTTTTGTGCCAGCTACATTTTATGTTTGATTTCTTCCAACATGTTAAATGTATGCTTATTAAACTGTGCAGAAGTGTGTTCTCTGTAGAGGGCGTGTTAACTTATTTTCACTTAGAAATATCATTAAAATATGTCGTTCGACCGGAAGCGCCCAAACTTTTGCATACAACTGTATAAGCAAACTTGACGTAAGGGCAAACTCTGTTAATTTAAATAAAGGCTGAGGGTTAAGCTGAACAATCAGTCAAGTCTTTATTATAAGTGAGAACTGTGCTAATGATGGCTTATGTGTCGGCTTAAGTGTTGGGCAATATGATGATATTTATTGTTACTGAGATAAACTATAACACAATATGTCTCGATATGCTTTTCTGAGCATATCGCAGATATCGTCAGTGCTTAAAGAACACGAACTAACTGCATGTTTCATAACAAACAGCATAAATAGGCCTGGTTAACTGGATGTAGTTCAGCGCAGTGTGTGAAATGTTGCATAAAAACATTGTATTCACAGCCTTTGATGGTATTTTTTTGAATTTTAAAACTATTAAACCATAGAAAAACTCAGCATTGTAATTATTACCACACAAAGCGTGTTGTCGATTGTCAACGTGACTGATATAAACATTTCGTGGCCAATATTGATGCTGATTTTACGAGGCTAAAAATTCTGACACTGACAATATTGGCCGATATATTTTTATATTCATTTTTCAATTTTATACAGTTTTAGTTAAACCGTTTCTTTCCTGAATATCAGTTATCAGCTGTGAACTGTGAAATATGACCGTCTGTTCACTACTGTCACATTTCCGAAACTCAAATAAACAGCACAAAGTCATTCTGAGATGATGTAAATGTTGTAGCAGTGGGGCGGGGCTACTTAAAATTCAATGCATTATCTCTTCATTATCTTTTATTTTTCTCTTCATACTGCTTTTGTGATAAAGGTGAGATTTGGGTCCATTTAACAGACTTTTGTTATTTTCAGCAATTTTTTGTGTTCAAATTGATCAGTTCAGCCTACATAGGCATCAATATCAGATACTGTTTAACTGGTTATACAGTTGTACGTGAAAGTTTTGAACATCCTCAGCCAAACTGCATGTTTTGGTGATGTTCTGTGTGAAAATACGTTACATCCTCTAAAGGGAGCGAACCTAAATGTGGTACTTTTCTGCTAATTTTAGTGCACAATTTTTATTTATTTGATTAAAATTAGTTTATTTGAAAAAATAAAACACAAATTATAAAAAGTGCCATAAGTTTCACAAAGGCTACATTTTATGTTTTATGTTTCCCAATTAAAAATGTTAAAGTCATCAAATAAACAGTAATTGTGCATGAAAGTGTGCGGAAGTGTGATATCTGTAGAGGACGTGTTTGTGTTAACTTACTTTCACTTAAAAAAACACAACAAAACGTGTCATTTGAGCAGGGTGCCAACACTTTTTCACATGACTGTATATCAATCAGATTAAGAGTCTAACTTAGCTGACAAAACAGGGCAGTGACCAGTGGTACAACTGGACAGTATTTTTACTACTTAATGCAAATGTTGCTTAGAAAAAAATCTAGTTGTAAGTTATATGGTTTTAGTTTTTTAGCTACATATGACTTTCAAAGTAGTTACGGAATAATTGATATTCCATCATCATATCTACTGAGTAATATCTTAAGATTTATGAGCGGAATAATAGTTTAATGTAGTTTAATGGGTTAAGGGTTATTCTGGTCACTAATATAAGACATTATAGATGTGTTAGAAGTCTTAATAAGACATTTTCAATACGTTATAACTGCGACAGTGAGCGTTACCCATTACCGTTTATTCAGCAAGAGTGTTTTCCTTTCCTCGTTTTGAAAACAGATATGTCGTATGACCTAAAAAACTGGTGTGTGCGACTGACGGCGTTTTGTTCCTGTAATAGTGGCCGGTTCGGGATTTATTAGACCGTCATAGGTGGTCATGTGAGGCCCGTCCCGTTTCCAGTTTGTGTCATTCTTGCAAAAATGACTCCTTATACTAAAGAATTCCTTTCACATTGAGGCAGCAGTGTATCTGTAAATTGGAACAGTACCGATCCCCCTTCTCTCTCTCTCTCTTTCTCTCGCTCTCCTCTAGGTCTGAGGGAGAAAATGGACCGCTCTTGCACGGCTTCGGATTTTCAGATTTGTTACTTTTTCCTCCACCCTCGTCCCGTCCACACAGCAAACCCAAATTCCCTTCAATTCCATTGTTTTGTTTTAAAACTAGGTGTTATACATGTTTTGTCCAGCAGGTGCTGCCAGAGAGACACCGTCGCCACTGGCTCTGTCCACTCCTCCGACACGTCGCTGCCCGCTCCGTTGCTAAGACACCTGTTCCACTGGCCGCAGCTGCACGTCTCCGATCTGAAGAAAGAAAATATAACATTCATTTACATGAACTACTCCAAGAGCGTAATTCAATTTGATTATGATGAAAATGATTTATTACACTGTAAAATCTCACATTTTACTACAGTTCACTTGTATTATTTAGCACAATGCAGTCCGTTTAAAAGATTCTGAGTTGATCTTTTTCCAGTAAAGTATTGTGAAAGGCTGTGCAGAGTTTGTTATTGTTCAGTTAAGCGTATTTTTTGCACAATGAGTTCTCAAATTCTTTTAGATGCAACTTTGGTGCATTTTCTTAAAATGTTCTTTTAAAAACTTTCTAACTTTTTAAATAAAATTAAAAATTTTCTAATCTTTAAAAATATGTTTAAAAATACACTGAAAACACAAAGGTTACTGGAGGCACTATTTACAAAGTAGCAGAAATCAGACAATGAATACACAGAGACTTTGGACTTTTATGTTTGAAAATAGCACAAAGTTTTTACTTTACAGCAAATTCTTTTTATCCATTATAATAAATTGTAACATTACAAATCACAGATGAATCAACACCTGTATCAAATACTGCACATCTGATAAGAGGCGAGTGTTTATGATAAGATTATTTTTAAACTAAGAGAGAGAGACAGACAGAGAGGGGGGGGGGCAGAGATGTGAGAGAAACAGAGAAACGAGAGAGAGAGGGAGGGGAGAGGAACACAGATGTGAGAGAAACAGAGAAACTAGAGATAGAGAGTGAGAGAGAGAGAGAAAGGGAGAGAGAGAGGGAGAGAGGAACAGAGAGATGTGAGAGAGACAGGGAAACAAGACAGAAAGAGAGAGAGAGAGAGAAACAGTGAAAGGCAGAAACAGACAGACAGATGGTGAAAGACAGAGGGAAACAAACAAACAGAAACAGGGAGGTAAAGAAACACAGAAAGATGTGAGAGAAACAGAAACAGGAAAGAGAGAAAAAGAGAAACAGAGGGACAGAGACAGCAAGAGAGAGAGAAGAAAGGCAGAAACAGATAAGAGACAGAGAGAGAGAGAGAGGGAGAGAGAGAGAGAAAGAGAGAGATAATGAGAGAGAGAGAGAGATAAAATGAGAGAGAGAGGCTAATGGGGCGAGTAGTGTTTGATTAGATTTGCATCTAATACTTTTATACTTATAAATGTAAGAACTCATTTTATTCAATTTCATTTTTAATACAGCTTAAATAACTCAAAATGAATAAGACGTGCTCACCTGAACATGCGGAGGGGCGCTGAGAACGTATCTGACCGCGCTGGCTATATCTTCAGCTTTCAAACACTACACAGGACAAAACAGCACAGTTAAAATACACACACACACACGCACACACACACGCACACAAACATGCACACAAACACGCACACAAACACGCACACACACACACGCACACACACACGCACACAAACACGCACACACACACACACACACACGCACACACACACGCACACAAACATGCACACAAACACGCACACACACACACACACACACAAACGCACACACGCGCACACACAAACACACACACACACACATACAAACACACACACACACGCACAAACATGCACACACGCACACACACACGCATACGCACGCACACACACACGTGCACATGCACACACACACACATGCACACACACACACCCATACAAACAAACACGCACACAAACACACGCACACAAACACACGCACACACGCGCACACACAAACACACACACACACACATACAAACACACACACACATGCACGTGCACACAAACACACACACACAAACACGCGCACACATGCGCACACACGCGCACACACGGCTCACCTTTATACTTTCATAAACGGCTGCCGCCTTCTCTGGGTCGTTATTGTGATGTCTGAAGGCGAACTCAGTCTCCACTATTCCGGGAGATATACACTGCCCAACGGAAACAAACCGTCAGCAAACAGCCAGCATTAGCATTAGAGCTGTGTGACCACTAAATCTGAAGTAACACTCGAGCAAAAGGACACAATTTTCTCTTTCCACTGAATGTAAATGTAAATAACCTCATGTCTTGGGTCAGTTTGCTTCTATAGCTTTGGACTGGAGCTATGAGGCTAATGCAGCTGGCAAGTAGTGAAAGTGTATTTACAGCACTTAGCATTGTGCGAGCTGCACGCCAAATTCATCACACACTTCACTCAGCTGTGTTGTCACGTAGTCTTGAATAGACTTGCTTATGTGTTTTCTGGCAATGTAAGTGATCTATAAACATCTAGAAACATCTAAAAACATGGCTACAAGTATGCCAGAAAGCTAAAAAATGCTAATAGCCGGCTTGAAACTTGAATTTTATTTGATTATTTACCAGTTATACCACTTTTGGCCAAAGGTGAAATGATTTAGGTATGTAGTTTTTACAAAGCTAACTTGTGGCATTTTAATTCTTTTTGTTAAAGCTAAAAGAAGCAGCTTTACAGAGTTGGAATAAAAAAATATATAAGCTAAAATACAGTGTGTGTGCGCTGCTGCGAGTCATCCTGTAAAGCCTGAAAAGTCAGAGGTGTTGGGTCGGGGGTTTTTGCGACCACATCATACGTCTTTATGCGTTAACGTCACACACACAAGCTCAAAAGAAGGTCTGACTCAATGTTTAGATCTCAAATTCAAAATGAACATTATACTGATGAAGATATGATGACAACAGTATAATTCACTCACGTTCTTTAAATACTCTTTCAACACGCTCACAATCATGAGACTGTGGCCGTGTGAAGCACAACCCATGTTACAAAACATTCTTCAGCACGTTGCGTGCAATTACACATCTCCACCAGAGAGGTCTCCAAATCCCCAAAACTTACATAGCATAGCTATAAATTGATCTGTAGTTCTAACCCAGGTGGATCTAATCTTAAATTCTATATTTTATAAATGTTTACGTGCCCGGCAGATACATATATGAAAAATATCGGATACTGGCATTGGCTTAACATTTCCATGTTGGTGTGTTCCTAGTACATTCCTAGAAACATTCCTAGAAATCTTTTTGCTTTATTGAGCCAAGGATCTCAGTGCTGATCCATTCTGAGAATTTGGCCGTGTTCCCTTTAACTTGTTTAAATCTGTCGCTAGAGGAGTTACGGCACATCCACATTGGTGAGAGAGAAACATATCAACGCGTAGAATGGATGCACTCTAATTTTTTTTCAGAGCAAACGTGCAAGCGCATTCAGAGCACGATTCGGATCTGTAAGTGCTTATTATCATTTTCTCTAATCTGAGATGCGTCACTTATAGTCGTATTGATGCATTGTCTTGTTCAGAAAGGTAGTTTGTGAGACAAAGACCCAAATCCATTTCACCCCTTGCCCCTACCACTTAGCCTACATGGCCCTCTAAAAGGGGATTTTTCTGAGGCACACTCCAAACAGAGTGTTATGAGAAAAAAGAAAAACCGGCAAGATGGCTGTGCAAGCAACCGAAAAACCCCACAAATGTGAGGATTTTCTCCATTAAAAAATTACAATAACCATTGTTTTGTCTTAGGTTAATGTCATTTCAATGTATTTTGCTCCTATTCTTCATAACAAGCATAAAGATCACTAGTAGTATGCTAATGCCTCAGTAGCTACCTAACTAAATTTCTCATTCCACCTTAAATAGTCCAGCAGTTCTGACACTTGAAGCGCCAGAATGTAACTGCTGCTCCATTTAAGGTGGAACAGGAAAATTTGGACAAGAAGCTGGTGAATAGCTGACTTCAGCTTTAAATCACTGACGAATTAGGGGTGGGTGATAATAAATAATTGTTATATCCCCCTCTTTAAAAGCATATGATTCTCTAAATGTAACTAAAGCCCAGCAGTGAGGTTGATGAACTTTACCCTCCTCTATCACGGCAGACTGGCAGGGTCGCCTGCAGTTCAGCACTAGTAGCTGTTAATGAAGTAATGTTCTTTTTTATTTGAGGATTGTCCCATTTTGTAGGGGAAGATTTCAACTACTAACCAATGTAACTCAGTTCCAAGGGGCAAAATGACACTCAAAAACAAGGGGTAGGGGTAAAAATAAGAAATGGGATTGGGCCAAACTAAATAAAAATCTACAGTTTTATAGCTTTGTTAGATCTTATTCTTAACATATCAAATAAGTGCAACAAAAGCACTAAGAAATCAATATTAACTAAAATGAAATGGCAGTGATAGCCACGTCACTGCGTCCACCTTAAAGCGTTCGATGCATTTTCTGTATTTTGCAGTTCTAAAAGTCATCTAATAACTGCATGTTACATCAGTTAGGGTTTATGCATGAATGAGTGGGTGAGTGGGCGACATCATGTCAGCCTCTTAATCTTTGTGGAGGTGTCTTTATCTGTGTGTGTCTCACTGTGGCGCGGATGTGTGTTTTAGCCTCCCGCAGCTCCTGTCGGAGCCCCTCTGTGAGGGCCGTCACAGCGTATTTGGTGGCACAGTAGAAGTGCTCGTCAGCGCTCGCCACCATCCTGTGTCCCCCCATACTGCACACAGAGAAAGAACACCGGTTACATTAATGAAAATGCAGTACATATAATACAGGCCAGAAATTCGGCTGTTGGTAAATTTAAGTTCACTCTGCTGCAGCATTTCTTATCAAATGTGAGTGAGCGTCAAGAAGTGACCTGTTGATGTTGATGATGTGTCCATCGTCCACGTTTCTCTCCTTCATAGACTGGTAGGCCTCACGTGTGCAGATGGCCAGGGCGAGCACATTCACCTAAGAAGTGGGCAGTACATTTAATGAAGAACGTTATCACAGAACGCTGTTCTCATACAATGTCAGGAAGTGGGATATTTGTTATGTAATAATAAAATGTTCCATACACATGTAAGCACCATGACCATATATACACTGTCCAGCTATTTCATTAAGTACACCTCCTTGTATCTACAATCACTGTCCATTTTATCAGCTCCACTAATCATACAGGTGCACTTTGTAGTTCTACAATTACAGATGTGTAATGGTTTAAGGGTGGTCTGTGACTTTGCACAGTACTGTACAAAAACACACACACAAACACACACACACACACACACACACATATATACACACACACTTTGAGAATGCTTCCCATGGCAACAAATGCACAGGCCTGGGAAATGTTTAGCTTCTAGGCTGGAGAGGTCCTGAATGGCAATCAGTGCAAAGCTCCATGAATCACACTGTATGAGGAAAGAACTAACACTCAGACAATGAGGAGGAAATGCTGAGGCCTCTTAAGTCAGCTATTAGTGTGACGTGACGTCAGGCCTGTTTCCAGAGCCTGATCTTCAGCTGAATCTTACAGCCTAATTACACTTAGGCACTTCACACATCCCATATCCGCACAGCATCCAGATAAGATCCATCCACATTCCTTTAACACTTAGACACATAAATGTCAAATAAAGCCTGTTTACACTTTGCTTTAACATGTGTTTCATGTGTGGATCATATCTGGATAAAATGCATCCCTGGTGTGACCAGGTGAGATCTAATTGTACTTTTCTCGCATAAAAAGCACGTCAGCACATGCATCGTTTCCATTTTACAAGTGGACAAGCTTAGCTTGGAAGCTTTCACTGGCCTGTAGTGCATGAAGGCTCCTGGTTTGGGGCTAACTTCAGCCCCGCACATCCTCCATGTTTAGTTTCCTTGTTTAAAATCTCACCTTCTAGTCAACAACAGTATGGACATTTCTGAGTGATCCGATTGTAATCCGAACACAATACGTTCCGGGGGTGTTTACACCTGGCTTTTCATGCTGTCAGGTGAAATCCGGACATTGTTTGATCATCAAAAATGTGTAAACAGGCCCTTAGATACAAATAGAAATCTGCTTTGCAACTGGACTGCATTTCCTCTGTCATATGGAAACATGAGGTGATGTCAGGTGCCACAGAACGTTGTTCTTTGCAGGTATGCATTTATAAGAATTCCACATAAGGTTCCATATGTTATAATGCATTCAGTCTAAAATGCAACAGGAGCTATTGTATGTAGCTCTTATCATCAGTGATTCATCTCATTAATGAAAGAGCTCTGTGGTTGACAGTATGAGTGGAAAGGACAGTGCTAAGTTCTTTAACGAAGTCAGTGACTGACTGACTAGCTTCTAAATGCGCAGTCCAATGCTTGATTGCATACATAATAGATTGTGTATTCACTGGTCAGACACCCAAATAATATCTGGTCAGTGGTCCGGTGGTCATACTGACAAATTAACCCCTTAAAATCTCAGGCTTATCACATACTAAGGCTTATTATTCAGTAACTACAGGGACTTCAATGCAAACTCGTTGAGCAATTCTTAGGTTATAGAAGTGTGTAATAACACTTTGACCATTTAAGGGGTTAAGGAAAAGCCAATGTCAAGTGTCTTAGCATAATGTTGGGCCACCACATGCTTGGGCCACCATGAGCTTCAATGCACTTTAGCACAGATTCTGCAAGTCTCCAGAACTGTACTGGGGGGATGGAACACCATTCTTCCAAAAGATATTCCCTTAACTGGTTCTGATGGTGGTTAAGAATGCTGTCTCACATGGTGGTCCAAAATCTCCTGTAGGTGTTCAATTGTATTGGGATTTGGTGACTGCAAAGGCTATAGCATTGATTTACATCATTTTCATGCACCCTAAACCATTCAGTGACCCCTCATGCCCTGTGGATAAAGGTAAATGGTCAGAATCACTTTTATTTTGATACTGATTTGCTGATCTTCCTTCTAAGGGGATAAGTGGGCACGAACCATGCCAGCAAAGCAGAAAAATAACAACAATTCAGGCCTGTACGGTTTTCTTCCTGTACGCCAGACATGCACTCGCCCACCTGTGGAGAATATGGTGAAGGATGACCACTGCCTATGGTTTTTGCACCACTGAATGTGCACTGTTCTTTGTAATAAGGGGTCTATTTCAGTGACATAACCACAGCTAGGCCTAGGTAAGCCTGGGACTACCCAGATTGATAAAAGGCCTACCCAATCAAATAGGTAAAGAATGTCAATAAAGCCCAATTTTTTTTAGATAATAAAGTTCAATTTGTTTTCAGTGAGTGCTGTCATTGTATTACAGCCAATCACATCATTTCGCTTTACACCAAGCTCAGCCTTCTTTTCCTAAACCCTCCAATCACAGCTTAACAACCATTGCTGTCCATCACTGCCTCAATCCTTCGGTTTGTTATGAGCATGCTAGTGTTAGAATCTGAAGCTCCAGTTGTTGTTAAAGGATGTAACAAGGGGCATATAAAAATGAGATTCCATCCCATAAGTATGTTGATTTCCACCCATCCAAAGCCAAAAATAAATTTTAAAAACTTCATTGTCAGCTTTGTGCAAATTTATTATTTATAATGCTTTTTTACTACTGATACTACTGAAAATGTCAAATGTTACTCGTGCATTGAAGATAAGGCACAAATGGTTCATAAACATTTTTCAGTATGCTTTAGCCTAGGATGATTAGGTGTTTAAGCTTGTGCTGCTTTTCCTCATCTGTGCACATCTCTATCTGTCCAATTGTATCTCAGTCATGTTATCTTCTTTGGTTCCGCCCACCATGGCAGGACGCTTTAGCCTGGGATGATTATCACCAGGTTTAGGTTTTTAAGTTTGTTGTATTCTTTCTTGTGCTTGTACATCTTTCTTGTCCTTACATACCTCAGATGTCTGATTTTGACTTAGTTATGTCTTCTTCATTGGGCAAACACACCTGTGATGAGCAGATGGATGCTTTATAGTGAAGGGTGTGGCAGAGTCGGTTGGGTTTTGTGAATCCTGCATTCTGTTTGACTGCTACTGTTTTATTTTTTATAGGGTAGAAGTGTTGGAATAGGTAGAGTAACGACTATACAGCTATTAGAATAGGCTCTAGTCTGATGTTATATCTATCAAGTTGGCTTACCCTCTATTTCACTGCAGTCCTACTACGATATATTTTGCTATGTAGTTGTGGATGGACTGTTCTTGTGGACAGTCAGATTAAACTCTGCACTGACATTCTTAATCACCTAAGGAACTTTTCCTACATACCACACAGGAGCATCATGATCACAGAACGTGTGCTTTCCACCACAATTTCTAACTGTGTTTACCATGTTTTCAAAAGAGCTAAAAGCAGATGTCACTTTAGTCACTGTCCCTACTGAAATACTAGCCAGTTAAACCGTCTTTGTGATTGATGTTCCAGCCTCAATATTAAACGTTCTTTCAAAATCACTTAGATCTTCTTCTCTTGCCTCCTTGATCCACAATCGAGGTCAACTTTTAAACCGAATAGGCTGCTGTGTGTGTGTGTGTGTATGTGTGTGTTTGTGCGTGCGTGTGTGCGCAAGAGACTCACGTCGATCATGTTCCTCCATCCGTCGGTGCGGCCGCTCAGCAGCGGTTCGTTGTGAGCCAGGCCGGCGTTATTGATGCACACGTCCACGCCCTGGTGCAGGGTCTTGATGGCCGAGAACATGGAGAGAATCTCCTCCTCGTTAGACAGATCACACTTATACGGGATCAGAGTCCCACTGTAACCCGCACTCTGACACTCTGCTGCTAACTTCTGCAGAGAGAGAGAGAGAGACAGAGAGAGAGAGAGAGTTATTAATAGTAATCTAAAATCTAATTAACTCTCTTATGTCCCTTTTGGCGTATAAGCCTTAAAATACCTCTTCTGCAGATCTGAGACTTTCAATCCATGCCACATTTGTGTTCATAAGCAGAAGAGGTGATATTTTATTATGATTTGAATTTGACGGAAAGCTACTGTTGTGTACAGTCTTGTTTTGCAGAAAAAGAAAAACATCTTTCAAATTTTCTCTCCATGTTTTTGTCTTTAGTTGCCACAGAAACAGAAAGTACAGACTTGAACCTGTCAGTACATCTAGTATAGCATATGATATAGTGGAGTTGTTTTTTACAGTAATCATGATCAGTACAAGACAAAACACTCAGACCAACACAAACTAATGCAAGACGATGAATCAGATGCTTTTAAAAGCCTCATATAATATAAAACCACATTTTTCTTGCTTTTTTCTAATAAAAGAGTTTGATACTATGTGTAAACATTATTAAACCTTCAAAACATCCTATTCACTCCCCAGTCTATACAGCTGATATACAGAAACTAAGCTGCAAAAACTGCACTTTTTGAATTTGTCTTTGTGATGTCACTAAAAGCACAGCGGTTTAGCTCTGCCCATTTACATAGACCAGAGGTCGGCAACCTAAATGTTAAGAAGAGCCATTTTGTCCTTTCAACAAAAATCAAACCACCTTTGGAGCCACAACATTTTACGTCCATTTTACCATCTTGGCTGTAAATATGTCTCAGTATGTGCTGATGTGCCAGTACAGGCTAAAAATATAATATAAACGAAAACACAGACTTACTTTGCTCTACTTTAGGCTTTAGCTCAGCTATAGCCGCTTTTCTTGCATCTCCGGCAGGAAACTTTTCACAAAAGTTGAATAGTTTCTTGTAAAACGTCTCTCAACATTCAACCTTTTACGAGGCTGATGTCGCTTCTCATTTGCCATCTTCTTGTTTGAATTTACTCATTCCACCTTAAATGATGCCTGAGTCACCAGAATGTAACTGCTGCACCATTTAAGGTGGAATGGGAAAATTCAAACGAGAAGCTGGCGAATGAGAATCTGACTTCAGCTTCGCAACTTTTTAGTGTTTGACAGTTTCTCGTTGCAGATTAAACGTGTCAGGAAACCAGCTGGAGTGATTATAAATGCAAATCAGTCCATTCATCTCCAAATGATCAAATGTTCTAGGCGAGACTGCTATGGTGACCAGCAGTCTGCACACCAAAGGTTAAAGGCAGGTTAAACGTTGGTGAATTTGCAGATGTAGGCTACATTAACTCCAGTGTTTAGAACACTTTATTAAAATTCTATAAATAATATTATAAAAGTGTGTAAGACAATCAGCAGAGCTTTACTTTACTGCAAAGGAGGATTTTTTATTTTTGCCTAAAAATCTAATTCTGCTGTGGAGCCGCAACAGAGCAGTAAAAGAGCCGCATGTTGTCATACCTGAGATAGACGCTATAAAGAGTATTTCAGTGTGGACTGCTTTTTGAATGTGGCACAATAAAGGGTGGCCAATCAGAACAGAGGTACTTTACAAATCTTATTCTTCAAGGCCGGTAACAAAAAACAGCCTGTTTTCTTCTAAGGGATGAAGAGAGGTTGGAAAATGGTTCTGTCTAAATTAATGAGTGTGTACATAAAACCACACAAAATAAAACACAAGACAAATGCACAATATGGGCCCTTTAAGGACTCGTGTGTAAGATTTAACTGTTTCTGCTAAGAAGCCATAGCTCGCAGCTCAACTAGATATTACGAGAAAAACATCCACAAAGACGGAAAGCTCTCTTCCACCCTTCCTTAAGCATTTGAATGATGAGCGCAAATCCGATTTGCATTCAGCTCCAAGGCCCTGTGAATACAATTTTAGGACATCTGAGAACAGAACAGCTTCAAGATGGGAAAATCAATGCGGGGTAAAAGAAGACCAAGGATACAGCATCAACCACTGAGAGTCCAATGTAATGTTTGCCTTGGAAGCACTTCATGGTGTACAGACCAATACAAATTACAATAGAATAAAGTCTCATGATATGAACGTACAGTAAAGTTACCACTTAGTTCAAGGTTTTATTAAGACAGTGATGATATAGTATAAAAAGTTTAGAAGAAAAATGAGCCACTTCAGTGCCAAAGGAAAAAAAAAAAGCCTGCCCTACCACTTCACTCTTCACTACACAACTTATCTGAGAACCAGAAGATTAACACTCCACTGAAACAAAGTAGAAGCAAATCTTATCACTTCACTCAATAGTATTCAGTGCCTGTAACCACCTTTATGACTAACATTTATAGACATATCAATAACGGTGATGGACCCATCATTAATTTTTAGGGCCAATTCCAAATTAATTTCTTTTCATCTAAATTGGCCAAAGGACATTTTTTTAGTCTTTTTTTACCTAAAGCTCACACTCTGTGGGCTAAATGAACACATGAAGCAAACTAACACATTTCCATACTTTTAGCCAAAATGATATATTATATGCTGTGGTGTGCTGATCTGAAGCCAGGTTTAGCGTTTTCATGCAATTCACAACCACAGCATTAGCTATTGATCCCAGACCTGTGCTTAGGACAAATCAACATCTATTCATTCATTTCACAGTTCTCAAAAGACTGAATGCTGAATGACGTCTGGTTCCCATCATCACCACTATGAACAATTCTGTAATTGTAAGCTTATCCAGAACAGAGCATTTCACACCAAACCACTCTGAATGACTTTGTTTACATCTTAACTATTAAATTATGCAGAAAATTTGAAAAACAGGTTGAATTAAAACAGTGACTAGGTGGAGAGGTGGAGACATGCAGAGAGGGAGGGAGAGAGAGTGAGAGTGAGAGAGAGAGAGAGAGTGAGAGAGAGAGAGAGAGAGAGAGAGAAAGAGAAAGAGTGAGAGAGAGAGAGAGAGAGAGAGAGAGAGAGAGTGAAAGAGAAAGAGTGAGAGTGAGAGAGAGAGAGAGAGAGAGAGAGAGAGAGAGAGAGAGAGCGCATCAGCTGGGATCTTTCTCTGTCTGGTTCTGTGTGCAGGTCAGACAGTGAGGTGATAGACAAACACGCCACAGGCTTAGCATGACCCTCTCTCTCTCTCTCTCTCTCTCTCTCTCTCTCAATTCAGGATGCCTTTTTTTTCTTAATATATATTTTCAGTTCTGATCTACTTTTCAGTTCTGAGATTTTCAATATTTTCGAGCTCTAATTCTGTAACTTTAATTACTATAAATGTGCATTTTATTTCTGATTGGGTTAATTTTGTTCTTGCAGGCAACGTCCCACTGACCAATAAATGGATGATATATTTCACCATATTTCTCTCCTCTTGATGTAAACTGGGCAGTCCTAATCTTGGGTAATGTTTTCGTGAGCATTCCCCTGACCAATCACAAGGCTGATGTCTCTTGCCCCACCCACACAAAACAGTTTCAGTCAGAAAAACTTGGTGAGCTAAACTAACCCAGCATAACCAAAAGCTAGCAAGCTAGACCACCTGTCTGTAGCTGCCTGTCGCCTGTTCGTTCGTTTTTTAATACACCAACATCATCCGTTCCTTCATTCACGCATAACTTTATCTGTCCATTTGTTTGTCTGTCCATCTGTCGTCACATCTGTTTGTCCGTGACCTTTTTCGTCCAGTTACCGTCACATAAAAGCTGGATGACTGTAGTTCTGTATGAGTGGTGGAGCAGGCTAGCAGTGTTGGACAGAGAGCAGTCAATCAACTTGCTCATTAGCCACACCCATACAGTCCCCAGAGAGGTCTGATCAGCGGTTTTTGAGCCATGTTTTATCATACATACATACATCATCTAAACCGCTTATCCTTCTGGGTCGCGGTGGGGTGCTGGAGCCTATCCCAGCTGTCATTGGGCGGAAGGCAGGATACACCCTGGACAGGTTGCTAGTCCATCGCAGGGCAGACAGACAGACACACACACACACACACACACACACCTAGAGGCAATTTTAACATGTCCAGTGGCCTGACTGCATGTTTTTGGACTGTGGGAGGAAACCAGAAACTGTTTTATCATATTTATATTATATTTTTCATTTAAGCTTTGCAGGATGTTTGATTGAGCACTCAAGTTTAGCATCACACACACATTTTTAATTTTTTACTCTGCGTTGCCTAGGACTTTAAAGCTACACTGTGTAAGATTTGGGGATTTGGAGACCTCTCTGGTGGAACTGTGTAATTGCGCACAACGTGCAGAAAAACATTCTGTAATGTTAGTTGTGTTTTGGACCCCTTTCCCCGAGTGGATGAATCTGATGATTGCGAGTGTGTTGAAAGAGTTCAAAGACAACCCAGTCAGACCTAGGTGAAGGGCGTGTCTTCCAAGAATGCAAGTGAACCCCAACAATCACAATCCACAGAAGTAATAAGCGACTTTAGACGAAAAGTCTAGTGTGGTGCATAAATATAACATAAGCCCCGCCCCCTCACCTCCCACTTTACTCTGATTTGACACCCAGATTCCTGGGTTCAATCACAGAGGTTTCCATGAAAGACGGTACATGAAAGACCCTCAGAAGAGACTGAGGTGCATCCGTAATACAGTTTAAAATTAAGTACACTGTTTCTTCCCCTTTATAGCTCAGTCTCATTCTATCACTCTCACTCTCTGTTTTAGAGAGAGGCAAAATCATTCTGACAGACAAAAACACCCCCAACACACAAACACACCATTACACTGACAGGCTAGATCAGCAGCTGTGTGTATTGACAGGACCATCAGGCTCTCTGCCTCAACACCCATGACAGCGTTTACGCTTAGAAGGCCCTAGTTATTAACTGACATGTATATGTATTTATATTTATATGTTGCTGTCGGAACAAAACCTCAAATCTCCATTTTTGTTGTTTTTCAGTTTTTGACATAATGTGAAAATGTCTGTTGCGCTTTACATTGTGTGTGACTCTCATGATGAACGGACCAAACGAAATGGCC